GCCATTTTTGTGCTAAAAAATCATAAAAATCAAGCATTTCTCGGCTGTTTACAGATGGATATTGTTCAAACTTGGTATATACATTAGACATTATGGGACCTTGATGCAAATAATTTTGTTTTTCAGATAAGATTAAAAGTAGCCAACTGGCGGCCATTTTGTTTTAATGAATGTGGTTCTTGTGTCATACTCTGACTTGCTTTCACTGATTATGTTCAAATTTTAAATATTCATTATACAAGATGTCATAGATAGACAGATATATTGGTTTGACGTTCCTATTCAAAATGGCCAAATGATGGCCATTTTTGTGCTAAAAAATCATCAAATATCAAGCATTTATGGATGGATTTCGTTCAAACTTGGTACATTTATTAGACATTACAGGTTTCTGATGCACATCATTTATTTTACAGATCAGATTCAAAATGGCTGTCTGGCAGCCATTTTGTTTTAATGAATGGGCTTCTAGACCCATATCTCCGACTTGTTTTGACTGATTATATTCAAATTTTAAATATTTATTATACATCATGTCATAGATAAACAGATATATTGGTTTGACGATCCTATTCAAAATGGCCGAATGGTGGCCATTTTTGAGCTCAAAAATCATCAAATATCAAGCATTTATGGATGGATTTCGTTCAAACTTGGTACATATATTAGACATTACAGGTTTCTGATGCACATCATTTATTTTACAGATCAGATTCAAAATGGCTGTCTGGCAGCCATTTAGTTTTAATGAATGGGCTTCTAGTCCCATATCTCCGACTTGTTTTGACTGATTATATTCAAATTTTAAATATTTATTATACATCATGTCATAGATAAACAGATGTATTGGTTTGACGATCCTACTCAAAATGGCCGAATGGTGGTCATTTTTGTGCTAAAAAATCATCAAATATCAAGCATTTATGGATGGATTTCCTTCAAACTTGGTACATACATTGGACATTACAGGTTTCTGATGCACGTCATTTTATTTTTCAGATTGGATTCGAAATGGTTGACTGACGGCCATTTTGTTTTAATGATTGGGCTTCTAGAGCCATATCTCTTAAATGCTTTGACTGATTATATTCAAATTTTATATATTCGTTATACATTATGTTATATATATATACATGTATTCAAAATGGCTGATTTTGAATGCTGTTCCAGAGCAATATCTCTCAATATGGACAAGTACTTTTTTGACGATCAGATACAAATGTCATTCATTTTAATGTTAAAAAATCATATTCCTGACATGGTTATATTCCAGCTATATTACTATAAACAAAACTATATATCTTAAATTTGATAACTAATGGGGACTGTGCCACGCATGGCTTGTTTATCACTTACTTGTGCACCATCACAAGTTGGCAACAACCATGCTTGCATCCCAAGATGAAAGAATGCTGTTTTTCATTTGATGCTGTTATAAGTAATGGTAAATATACATGATGAGTCCCGATTTGAATAAAAGAAAAAATCATAAGCAATGCTGTCGCTGTAGATTGTGAGTTAGTGTCAGCTTCTCAATGCATGACATTTGCTGATACACATGTAGAATAATGGTGACCGGTTATTATAGATCTGTATTTTGTTGAATGAACAGTTTTTGACTCTAATTCTGTTTTCTTGCAGTTGATCTACAACTTGCCTTTATGTGAGATTCGTAGTCGGACCTTACAGATAACAGTATGGGACTGTGATTACCTGAAGGAAAATGACTTTATGGGTGCTGCGTATATTTCACTAAACTCCATCAACCTCACACAGGAGACTGTAGAATGGTATAAACTTGGTTCGTTCCATCGTATGTGAAGCGACGTCTCCATTACCGTACACTATCACTTAATACCTGCCTTGTATGATGAGGAGTTTGAACATTGCATTGAGGTGGTTTTCACCTGTTTTACTAATAATACCTTGTGTTTGTACCCAGCTATCACCTTACAATTTGCTATAGCTCTGCAGTTTCCAACAGCTGAGCAAAATTTTTCTCAGTGGCCCCAAGCCCTGAGTAGCAAATAAATCGTATTTTTATGTCATGCATTATCACACATAAAGGGGATATTGTGTTAATATTGGGCAAGTTAAGTATATTCTCACAGGTATTCTACTTAATTCACATATTAGTACCCCCTAGCACTGAATTGAAATTTACCAAATTGTGTCATTAAATATTCTACATTCATTAATTATATTACCTTTCACTTATGAAATATTTGGTATCAAATTATTATTATTAAGTCCCTTAATTGTCGGTCAATACAGTTTCACAAAAACAGAATTTTCTTATTTTTGGTACACTGGGAGTTTGTTCTATTATAATCTATTAGCAACAATAAAAAACAGGGTTCATCAACCTCTTTTTTGGAAACCTATATGTTTATATTGCACAGTTAATACACAGGCTTTGTGAAGCAAAAAGTAAAACATGATGCTTTCAAATATCAAAAACTTTTTTTTTTGAAACTCTGGGTAATGGAGCTTGTAGAGGACATTTTCTACAAATAAAAAAGAAATGGGTCACTGACCTTTTCAATAGTATTCAAGTTTAAATAGTTTGCGCCAGAAACACGATAGGAATGTTTTCTTACATAAAAACTCTTCCATATCTTATTTGAAGAGTTGAGACATAGCAACTGTAACTACGATACATGTACCGGTATTTATACTCAATATGTATACTGAGAAGATAAATCCACAACAAATGAAATATTTTTGAAAAATAAAACAAAGTTTCTTCAAATTGGGATTGTGCTCACCCTTGCAAATGTGAAACTGTATTGATAATCCCATGGAAGGTGCTAACGTTAGTACCTTCCATGATAATTCATAAGCCCTATTTCTGTCTGTATTCATTTCAGGGTGGAATCATTTTTAAGGGCTTGCTTGACTTGTTTGTAGCAACTACAGATAAGTAAAACTGCAATACCGGTAACAAATTTGACATGGACTCAATCATGTGTAAAATGTATATGTTTTATTGTATTGGAGCCTTAAGTTCATTTTCAAGAGCTAAATAATTATCCCATTAGTATTATAAAATTGTTGATTTAGACTTTTCACCCAGTACAAAATATTTAATTGAGAAAAACTGAACAGTCCATTTTTCCAAGCATTAGATAATGCTATAAGATGATACACTCGGGTAACAAAAATAGTGGAAAGGTTTGAAAACGTTTTGTGAATGTTTCTCTTAATAAACACACCCCTGCAATTTTACACATCAACAGTTTACATCTCTGTATTTTAAATCTAGACTATGCAATTTAAAATTATGATGTGTTGTTAGTTTTCAGACGCAGATATAGTGCAATAGTAGTAAACGGCAACAGGTTATTAGTTTTATAGTTAAAAAGGTGAATATAAATTCATGATTTTTGCTGTGAAGGCCAACTTTGTTGAATGTACTGCAAGAAATACTTATATTTTTTTTAATTTGAATATACATAGTTTAACTTCATTCTATAAAAAATACTCCCTGCAAATTTTATCACTTTTACCATGTTTTACTGAACTTGATGCTCAAATTTGTAGAGTTTTCTTTCTGAAACTGATAGACCATTAGTGTCAGTATTTATAAATGGCTTTTACCGGTACTTTTTTTAATGAGTTTTGATTACTCGAGCTACAGTGAAAACTTTTAATTATATTTACTATAAAATGCTTATTTTGACCGTAGAAACAAATCTTTAATTTTCGCAAGGACATTTATTAAATAAAAAATTTGTTGTAGTGAGGTACTGGTTTATCTGTTGGTCTCATATAAAATGTACTTACACAAAATATTGTAAGCAGCTTAATTTTTGCTGATGGAGGAATTAGACGATTTGATGAAGGTATCATGATTTTCTGAAAGTCACGTACACTTTGTGTCGAAATTTTCACGCTACTCGCAAAATTCATGAAAAATTGTCTGCAGATTATAATTATTATTACCAGTACCAGTATAGTTTCCATATGAAATTGTAATTTTTTGTTTCACTGATTTGTCATAAAGTTTATCACAAACCATTGTGTGTGTGGGGGGGGGCACTGGATCTTATGGTAGATAAATGGAAGATGACAGTTACACGTTTAGGTATTGCGACCAACTAGATGAGACATGGAATTGTTTTCTATACATTAAAGTATTTATTGTATTGAATAGAAGCGCATAATAGGCAAAAATTGATTTTATTATATGCTGGATTATTTAAAATACAACTTATTTTGCCCTTTGATACACCTCTGCTGTTTATACAAGCCCATGTGTTAACAGTCTAGCAAACAGGTATGTTTGGTTTTGTTTGTTTTGTTTGAGCTGCAACTTTTTCCATTTTGTTCTGATTTTCTGAGCTGCTCTTGTTTGGTGGGAATACATGTAGATGCTTTGAATCAACTGCGATATGACATCCTGAGGTGCTGTGAAACAACAAAGTTCTTTCAGTTCCCCTTCTTCAGAGCAAATAAAACATCTACCGGGGGTACTGAACATTTGCAGCTTTCGTGATTATGTGTCCTTGTCTTGGACGTCTATTCTCTAAGACAGAACGGAAACGGAAACGAGACAAAAACAAAAGATTTTTCAAGTTAGCGTGGGGGAAATAACGTTGCTAAGTATTATCGTCAATGAAAGCTATTGTTTAAGCTAGTCTGTGATTGGTTGCTGGCAATGTTTGGAGGATTTTGACCAGTTTGTGACGTAGGCTTGTCTTAGAGAATGCCACTGTCAGCTGCATGTGCAAGTAAAAGTGTCAGTAACTACTTGCATTTGATCTCAAATTACGACTCGCAATGAGCAACAACTTTGGGGGTTTCCAAAGTATTAATAAAAAAAATAAGATCATACTGACACATAACACTTGCACATAGTATATAATACACTGGTTTTATGATTAACTCATCATAGGAGATGGATCATTTGTGATTTTTTTTTTATTAGGGTATTAAAGAGTCTTTGTTATATTATTAGCTCCACAAGGATAGGAATTCCGAGCTGGAATAATTTACAAAAGTATAGGAAAAGATTATGTTTAGTAATACTCAAAGGAAATTACTTTGTTTCTCTGTGCATTTTTGTTCATGATCGGTCGCTTTAAATTTCCATTCAGTCTTTACCCCTTGTGTTTATCGTTTAATGTTGCTTTTATCTTGTCTTTTGTTGTCTCTCAGAAAGTAAATTTTAACAATTGTGTCTTTTTAATGTCGTATAGTCTGTATTTTAAAACTACTGTGCTGTATCTGATTTGAAAGAAATTTGTTTTACGCTTTGCCTATTTTTTATTGATTGATTTATGAAAGAAACGATCATGAAAACCATATCTCATGTCAACGTGTTAAAAATCCTTGTATTTATCCTTATATGGAAGTGGTGAAGGTAAGTGTTGTCTCTTATATACTGCCCTCAACGACGCTTAAGTTCACTGTCGATAATTACCGGTAAATTCCATTCAAATAATTTCTTTTGTATTGATTTTGGTGATACGAACATGTCTTAGAAAATAGAAATTATTTGTTTTGCAGGGAATTCCATTCTCAAAAAGAGATGCCTCACTTTATACAGGCAATTACAATACTTCCATGTGTGGTTCCAGGGTCGTAGAAAATAATTCAGAAAATAATGTCTGAAAATTTAAGCATGTTATTTTCAAATCAACTTCTAACTATTAAATACAATGCAAACACGTTGCAGTCTTTCCAAATTGATCACATCAGGAGTTTGCAGACTGAGGATCGAGTTGTAGAAGCTCATGGTTACCAAGGTAATTTTCCCGAAATGGCTCGAAATCTTTACTAGTAAATATAAACACTGCTTGAAAGTGAAATTTATGTAGGACAAAAAAAAAATGAGCAACCGTGCCATTACATCTTTCGAGTAATGCCGAGACCAGGATTCGAACCTGGGTTATTGCGGCCACAACGCAATGTCCTAACCACTAGACGATCACGGCGAGCTAACTGGTTGCTCGGGCATTGGCACGTTAACAAGCTTATTTGACTTTCAAAACGACTTTAATAGTCGTATTAACTATCCATCATGCAAATCGTCATCCGCGTGAAACAGTTGTCGACTAACTCGCCGTTTTACCAGCGGTTTCTGTTTGTTTGGTGGTCATAAACAACAATGCACATGTGTGGTAAATTGCGCCCTCTATCTGCAAAATGACTTTCTATCATATATGGAAATACGGGTTACTGGTACATCGGTACCGTTAGTTCACCTAAAGTTCAACGTAGATGGCGAGCAGTTATGAAATGCTGCTGTCAGACGTCGCTGTCAGAGAAAAGCTCGACATTACCGTGACTAGTGGGATGTTCTCCGGGCCACTTGACATATAATTGGGTAGGATGTGCCACTAAGTCGATCCGGAATTGCCATTGTCGAGATCAGTGTTTAATACATGTATATGATATATTTGACTTTTTTTTTGGGGGGGGTCAAAACAAGTTGCGTGAGTGTTTATTTTGAACTTCCGGTTTAGCCGTGATAATTTTATTGTTTTATATTATAATTGCCTTTTAGAGAAAAAAAATGTCGAGTCCCTGGCGACGTGAAATAATTTCGTGTTGGACCAAGATTTAGAGGGAAAAAAGAATTTCCATTGAAAAAACAATAAAATTGCCACGGCAGGGCCAGTCTAATGTCTGAAAAATGTCATATGAATGCCCGGGTGCCACTTGGTTACCCAATCTCGGAAATCACGATTGAAAATAGGACTTACATTTTTTTTTATTATTATTACTAGTATATAGAAATGTACAAAATTAAATAAAATATATTGAAAAGCAATCGCATTGTGAACTTCTATTTATATTCCGATGTGTCTGAGGCCCCCACCATTGGTTTGCGTCTCCTGTTCAGGTTGGATTGACCAAACTTGTTCTAATCGCGTACGTAAAAGATTTCCAAGCGCGCTTAGCAAACCAGTCAGCAACATAGCTGGCAATATTGCTTGTGTTAGTGTTCGGAACAATATGGTGGTGACAGTTAATGGGTTTGTCAATCATTTCTAACTATCGAATACCAGTGCAAACATATTTTACAGATAAATATTGCCCTCGTTCTAATGTTATGACATCATGCTGTTGCGACTGTACGGGGCTAACGAAATGAGAAGTGTTTATTAAATTTTAACGCTCATGCTCATGCTCACGGTCACGACTAACGTAAATTTCTCAAAACGGTTTGAAATGTTAAAATACAATGTAACACTGCGTGGGTAGGACAAGAAAATGAAGCAACCGTGCCATGTCATTACATCTTAATATGAGAGTAATGCCGAGACCAGGATTCGAACCTGGGTTATTGCGGCCACAACGCAATGTCCTAACCACTAGACGATCACGGCGAGCTAATTTGCTGCTGGTCAGCAATCGCGTTAACACGTTCCAATATTTGGCGGAAACTAGTCGGCTGACTAGTTACAGCAAAATCGTCATGTGGAATAGAAAAGAATCTTCATTGTTATGGTATCCCATTACCCCAGGCGTAATGTTCCGCCCGCCCGCTAAGATAATGCGTTTGTGTAGCATTACCCTACCGGGCGGGCGGTACATTACAACTTCCAGCGCCTGGGGTAGATACCCCATATTTGAGGTTCAATAAAATAATAAATTCCGAAGACATAACAAATAACAATACAGAAAAAAATTAAACAAGATGCTCAGATTTCTAAACAGAAGAACTGCTGGTTAATTTGTATTTGCTGAAGCAGCTTGTTTCGCCGCATCATTTATAATGTTTCTATTCTTATTGTTTAAAATAGTAATTAATGGATGCCCACGTAAAACAATAGAAACAATTAAGTGAAGGGAAACAATATTTTGCTCAGTTTTTCTGCCTTCGTCCCTCCCAGATTTATCGTTTTATCATCTGGAACGCATGTAAAATACGTAGTTGAAAATAGAACGCAATGCGGCAGTTTAATTTATATCAAGGTTTACATATAATATATTGTGACATTGCAAGCGCTGTTAAAACGAATAATGGAATATGCATTTTTGAAATTACTGAGGATTTTTCGCTTACAAACGATATATAAAACTTCCAGACTGTCAATGTTCACGCTTAGAGGTGGCACCAAACTTGTACTTGCAGATATCTCAAGAGGCTCTCTCAAAATGTGTCACTTCAAAAAAAAAATGTGATACTGACTGTCCTGTAGCAAGAGTCGGACGACCATTCACTATATGATTCATGTCAACAACTATAAGTCGCGTTACACGAACATTTCCTGAATTATGTATCGTCATGATTCTCAGTGCCCGCGGGAACGGCCCTCACTAGGAAATGACGTCACTGTGATGACAAGCCTTCTCATTCCCCCACAAAGCACTACAAAAATCGAGACGTTCAAATTCAATCGCCCATGGGACACAAACTTCGGTCGATTTGTTTTTGTGACAGATTTTAATTTATTGGCGTCATAACAACAAAGTAAACCAAGTTTGACTGAAAAATCTGCGTGACAGTAGACGCGTGGTCGCTATGCATTGTGGGTACACATGCAGTCTGTTAGGTGCGGGGTGAAATTAAAGGACACCACGTGAATCAATTTTTCAGTTGTTCAGTCTAATACTTTACCCAAACCATGCCTTCTGCTTCGTCGAAACAAGCCGCTCAAACCCCTAACACGGAGACGTCTGACGCCGTACGTCAGGTTATTGCCGTCGTTGAGAAGAAGATCAGAAACCTGGAAAAGCGAAAGGTAACATTCTGACAGAGCTTCCAATGTGCGCGTGGGGCTAAAATCAGGTAGAAACTAGATAAATGCCGGTGGTCGAGCATGCGAGTACGCCGGACGAGGAAATCTGCGTCATTTCCAAAATTGCTATGTTTTCAACGAATATCGCGTAGTATACGTCAAAACATTTTAACCAGTGGCGATGTATTTTGTCGTTATTAGTTCGCTGTAGTGAAAATCGATCTCGATCTTGAAACAAACTTACATAAGCCCAAACATGTCGCTCATATTTGTATATCCTGTATGCATGTAGAAATCCAACATGGCGGATTGGTTGATGTCATCCGACTCTTCAGAAATGCGGAATCGCAGCGTACTATAGTAAATTGAATCCTGTTTCTTCACTATTGGTTCCAATTCATTCCAAGGCTGTTCTTTCCCTCGTCGGACACGTTTTGCGATCGGATAGTAAAAACAGATTCACCAGACACAAGAAATGCGTACAATTAGTGGTTGAGTCATTGCAATTTTCACTGTGTGGCGATCTCGCTAAAAATATTCAGACACACACACATGTTCTGTGTAATTGTATAAAACTAAAAATTGCACTTTCTGATCTGAAATTGTGTTATTGATCTCTTGAAAAAAATATTCACATTCTGCATTCGGTGTGAAAACACCAGACAAGAATCAGAACAACAAAGACATTCGCCATTGTGTTTTGATCGATAAGCTGAATGTATCCAAAGAAACGGAACTGGTTCC